TCCAACAAACATACTATTTAGTACATAACATGGAAAATCAATCCACAAGAAAATGAAAACTGATTAGAATACATAGATTAATCAGTTAGGTGCCCTTCGGCCATAAATCCAATAATATCTCGCAGGGTTCAGAAAGTTTAACTTCTCCTAAATCTATATACTAAGCTATTAATTTAAAATTGTCTACATAATGCCTCAAATGGTTGAAGAAAACTCAAAAGCGAAGTATGTCATTACTTAAAACTACATACTTGGAGAGCAATAGTGATCCGAGCCAATTAACCAGTCATGACCATATATCAAGAACTATATATATAACACATCTAAGTTTAATCCTGATTTCAAGGTAAGGAATCTCTTTAAAGTTCAAAATCTAATGAATAACCCTGGTAGGTTTATTTGTCAAAACGTTAGTATATCATAGATATATCAGCGCAAACTATTTGTATTATGAAATGTTTAGGGAGATATAAATAAGCCATGTTAAAGTCCTTTCATATTCGTTACTCGTGTTCGTTTTATGTACATTCTTAACCGATCGTGGATCTGCTTGTTGATCGCTTTCTGATTAATTTTCTTTGATGTGAAAGTTATAAAATTGGGCACAGCCACGGGCGCAACAGGGAAGAAAGACTTTAATTTTAAAGAAATAAATCTCGCGATATCTGGAGAGCTGTTGGATAATTTATCCAAATTATTGTTTGTAAATCTTGTCATTCCTAGGCAAACATGTTTTTCGTTTTAAATTAAATTTTATAAGTCAATATTAACGCACTTCAATCAATTTTTGTTTTGTAATTTTTATAAGAAAACTAAACCTCACAGGTTAATACGTCTCCGAATTTTGATGTCATCTGATACCGCAGCCAGGAACAAAAACTCGTTTAACTACTTTTTAAAGCTTCCTAGTTGATGTTCTATCATGTTATGTCTCTATTAACTTTAACTACATTTAACTACCTGTAATTTAAGAGGATTACCTAAAAATACTTTTTAAAATTCCAAATTGCGGCTATTAGGAAACGTAATACAGACTAAGTTTCCGAAGTTATGCGTCCTAAATCAGCATTTAACTCTAATAGATTTGGTATATAAGCAACCATCCTGTATAACATCAGTTCTCAGGTTTATTGTTTCTGGTATATGATACTCTACAGCACAGGTTCTCAGTGGAGGATCCACAAGGAGCTTTGGAAGTGCCCTTAATGACAAATTAATCTTTATATATGATTTAAGATATATAAATTATTCTCTGTTGTTTTCGTAGATCTATTTCGTCACATGGTAAGCATTACTATCGGGTTAGATCAGGAACTTCGCTCCTGTCAAAAGTCCTCTGAATATAAACAGGTGAAGCCCACTGCTCTAGAAGATGTTTTTCTGGAAGAGTTCGTCTGTGAAAGTTTGTTCATTAAATGTTGTTAAGTGTTACAGCACTAGAATATCAACCTAAGAGAAAGGATTTATTACAAGTATTTATATAAATAATACGTTTGCGTTTGTCTGTCCGCAGCTTGTCTCGCACAACTTTTCTCGATCAAACGCTACAAATCTTATATCGTTAGAAAGGTCTTTGTCCGAGGAGTCCGGATTACATGTTGACTTTTTCATCCAGAATCACCTTACCTGTTTTTTGCTTATACAGATTTCTTAATGTAACGAGTATGCTACATGATAGTATAATGTCGTTTTCATCAAGTGACGATTTGATTCAGCTGCCTTCGATTTTGACTCAAGTTTTTTATTTGTAAAGTATTTCCTAAGTATTGCCTAAAAGATTAACATTACACTTAATACAACTGCTATGAGCTATCTCGACTTAATTAAGTCTAAAATACGCATGCACAGTTCGTTAGAAACCATATGTTTATCACTTTGGGAACACGCATTCAGACGTTTCTGCATATTCAGCTAAATTTGCCTTCATTCTTTACATTACAATGATTTAGCTTCGGTTAATTTCATAGATTGCCATAAACACCTTTTAGCTATTTTTTTAGTACGGATTTTATTCTTCGTTTTTTTTTTTAGTTTTTTGTTTCAACTTGTAAAACTGTATCATACACTAGACGTTGATAACTGTTTCATACTCTGTACACTATTATATATACCATTATTATACTTTAGTGTTTACTTTACGTGTAGTGTTATGAAATAAAGTTACGTCTACGTGAGTTTGTTTGTCTGACCGTGTAAAACTTTTTTAAATAGACCAAGATTTATCGATGTAACACATAATGCCTGAAAGAAAGCGTAGTTATAATTCCGTGCGTGAAAACTATAAGTAATAATGAAAATTCAAGCAAATGGCATGAAGACTACTGCAAATCTAATGTGTTACCGAAATAATATAAATAAGTCCATAAGGGGTATCCAAAACTGTTGACTTCTAAACCAGGTTAATTGAGTGAATTGTCACTTAGAAAAGTAAACAAGACTTCTTTTTTCTTATGTGAGGTTCATATCTTAATATTCTTGTATTTTTCCATTTCATTGTATGGCCGTTTATTTTGGAATGATTAATGATTGGAGACTGGTTGGTGCTATAAGAGTTTTGGATGTTAATTATACTCCTCATTTTACATCCCAATTTGATGCCAATGAAGATTTCTCGGGTGATAGGTTTCTTATTTGTAATATAAGTTGTGAATGAGCCTAGCATTCCTTGATAGATACGACGTTCGACTCGCAATCTAAGGTTTCGAATCTCATCACCAAACATGCTGGTCCTTTCAACCCTGGGAGCGTTATGATATTACAGTCAATCTCAATATTCGTTGATAAAGAGTGGCTCAAAGTTGATGGTGGGTTCTGTTGACTAGCTACATTTCTTCTAGCTTAAAGTTGATGGTGGATTCTGTTGACTAACTACATTTCTTCTAGCCTAAAGTTGATGGTGGATTCTGTTGACTAACTACATTTCTTCTAGCCTAAAGTTGATGGTGGATTCTGTTGACT